CTGCCTTGTTGTGTGCAAAATGTGTTGGAAAAATATTGGGAGAGATGAGAGCCGAGAAAAGGAGAGGCGTTATTCTTTTTTTCGTTTTTTTTTCGGTTGAGAGACCAGAGAAAGAGTTGAGAGAGTTTTTTTTTTCTTGTCTCTTTTTGTTTCTTGTCTCCAGAGCAAAAATAGAGCCAAGAGATGTCTTGAGAGTGGAGTGTTAGGTTGGTAAAAATGATGGTTTTCTTCCAAATGACAAGAAAGATCAATGCAAAAATATGATGAAATTTTTACCGAAATGAGAAGAAATGTTAATGAGGATGGAGTATAAAAATGGATTAATAGTGATTTTGGTGAAGCAAAATGATTAGGATGATTTTTTATTTTCTTAATTTTTTTTATTTTTTTTTCTTTTCCTAAAACAAACCTGCAAAAATTAGAAAAATGCACATTAAAATATAAGAAAATAAATAATTCACTAAATAGAAAAAAAATTTCAAGAATACATTAAAATTTGACAAAAAATTGGTGTCTACATTTTTCTTGTTCATGCTTAGGGGTCATGTTGTTTCGAGTTTTGCTGAACGCCTGAACAGATGTGGATGTACAGAAAGCCAAAAGCAGAGCTGCATTCTGGACCACGAAGCATTCCACGTATATCTGCACCAACTGTTGGACCTTTTATTGCACCACCACTACCAGTTCAAGCGCCTTGTTTCCAACCTTTTAATTTTCCACCAAATAGTTCATGAGATATGCGTGGTTTGAAAAACCATATGCTTATAAATCCAATTTCACCTCGTGTAATACCGGATGTTCATCTCGTGTAAAGCCATCTTTCCTTGAGCGAAGTTCTAAAGATGAATTTTCGCTGAACCCTCTTCCAAAGTAATCGGCACCGCCGTTGCCATTGAGCCCTCTTTGAAATCTCAAAATAGTGAGTGACTCTCTCTCAAAACTGAATTTGTTCTCTAAGGAGGGACATTTAGGCTCGGATCGCCCGAGGCCTGGTTCTCTGATCTTCCCTGAAGTACCACCTCGGTCATACGTCTCCCGAGGCGATCAGCATCCATTGTCCACCTCAGCTACGAGGTCCAAGTCGTATCCCCCAAAGTGAACTTCGTATGATATTCAATTATGGAAAGGAGGGAGGTGACCTCTGACGCACCTGACACCTGACTGAGGACTGCTCTGACACGCCGCCTGAACCTGACAGAATGTCCCATCACGTCCTCTCATAGAGACCGGTCAAGTCCACCGGATGCACTGACTATCCCAAATCTTTAGGGACCTGTGCAGGCATTCTCTCTCTCTCTCCTATCCGTCCCCTATAAATACCCAACGTATCTACCAAGAAAGAGAATGATCAATTTCTGGTAACACCATACTGCTATCTTCCCATTACTTTCTTACTAATATACTGCCGAACTGATTTAAGCTTCGGAGTTACACCGGGGGATTCAGACCCCTTTCACAATTCTAGCAGGTGACTCAGCCACGGTGACCGTCCAGTCCGAAATCCTATTCCAGTCCGTGGACATCATTTCAGCGGGGCAAAAAATCACCTCTTCAATTGGCGCCGTCTGTGGGAAACGTGAAGACATTAGAATATGAAGCCTGCGCGTTCTAAGAGCAAAAAAGCTCTCACTATCGAGGCCGAGCAAAGCAATGCAGCTCAACAAGAAAATATTCCTGAAGGGCAGGAGTCCCCAAGGACTCAGCCGGCAAACGAAGAAGCAATAACCCGTATGACCGAGTTTGTGACTGAGAACCCCAATATCTTTGAAGAATTGGGGAGATACCTTAAGAGACAAGGCAAACAAAAAGCCGAGTCCTCTAAAAGGAAGTCAGATGGGTCCCCTGAGGATTCATCTGAAGAAGAGTCAGATGGGAGGCGCTTAAGCCGAAGTGCCTCAAAGCGAGCATTTTCCAAGGCCACCTCTAAGGTAGCCTCCCTGACCAAGGCGTTTTCTCGAGGGCTCCTGGGGCGACAACCCGAGGAAGAATCTCGGCCCTTGGAAATACCCGGGGTGGACTGCATGAGGGTTCCACCGTTTACAGATGATATAAACGAGGAAAGGCTTCCTCCCAATTTTAAGCTCCCCGCAGTACAATCTTATGATGGCCGAGGTGACCTCGAAGATCACATCCATACCTTCATCTCGGCCTTTCGCCTATACTGCATCCCAGACCCTGTCATATGCCGAGCCTTTCCAGTATTCCTCCGAGAAACTGCTCGAAAATGGTTCTGGGCTCTAGAACCTAGGAGCATCTCAACCCTGGGTGAATTAGTGGAAAAGTTTCTCCACCGGTTTGTCTCCTCCCGACCTACGACCAAGATCTCGGCTTACCTGCTCACTGTGCAGCAGAACCCGGGAGAGTCACTCCGGTCGTACGTCCGGAGGTTCCATGAGAAAAGCGTTCAGATACCTGACCCCAATGAACAGGTAACCCTCGCTGCCTTCACCCATGGACTCGTTGCCGGGGAGTTTAATACGGGAATCCATAAGAAATACCCCCGCACACTGCATGAATTGTGGTTGAAGGTCGAAAAGGGCATACAGGCCAAAGACCTCCACCGCATGAAGAAAGAGGTCCAAGCCACCCGTTCAAGGGCTGATCCCAGAAAGGAAAAAGACGCTGGCCGAACTGAAGCAGGGTCGGGAAGTGGCTTCCGAAGTCCAGGCCGAGACCGCCGCAGCGTGTTCGACAGGATATCCAAGGGGAAGTCACCTATTCCCGAGTCCGAGTTGACTCCTTTGAATACTACCCGATCTCACGTGTTGTCCGTGATGGAACAAAACAACCTCGGAAAGGCCCCACCAAGGATGCTTGGAAGCAGAGACAAAAGGAATTCGAACCTCTACTGCTTGTATCACCGTGACATCGGTCACGAGACTGAGGATTGCAACGATCTCAAGTGGGAGATCGAGAACCTCATTAGACGGGGGCACTTAAAACAGTTCATCCGCCGAGGTAGAGGCCACCAACGTGACGAAAATCGGCATGACAGACGAGGTGACCAACGCCGAGATGAGCGGCGGACCTCCAGAAGCAGTTGCCGACCTCCTGAGGATCCCAGGGAGACGAAAAGGCCTCCCCCAGACAGATCTGCAGGACATGGGTTGGGATATGGGCCGAACATCGCCGGAGTCATTAACACCATTGCCGGAGGTCCGACGGGAGGGGATAGTCAGAACTCCCGGAAGAGGACCTATTGGCAGGCCAACCCGGATCAAGCCGAGTCGAGTTCTCGCCTGTCCGAATTGATCACCTACGGACCCAGTGATCCCGTCCCAACTACCTCCAGCAGTCATGAAGCCTTGGTGATTGAAGTCCTCACCAACAACTACATTGTGAAAAAGGTCGACATAGATCCGGAAAGTTCAGTTGACGTCATGTACCTCCGCACTTTTGAGAGTCTTAAACTGACTAGAGAGAACATGACCCCGGTGAGAACCCCTCTTGTAGGGTTCGGAGGGCACGTTGTCCACCCCGAGGGAATGGTGACCCTGACGGTGACCGTGGGGCACCACCCCCACTGCCGAACTATCCCAGTGAACTTTGTGGTGGTTAAGGCCGACTCCCCGTACAACATGGTCTTGGGGCGACCCACACTTAATGCTCTGCGGGCAGTGTACTCTACCTACCACCTAAGCTTTAAGTTTTCTACTCTCGCAGGAGTGGCCGAGGTCAGTAGCGACGTCTGCGCTGTCCGGAAGTGTTACCTCGCCACTCTACAAGCGGCCTCCCCATCAACCTCCGGAACGAGACCCGAGAAGAGGTCAAATATCCTCTCAATAGATAGCATTGATCCTCAGCGAGTTGAGAAGGTCCCGAGACTGGAGACTGGGGATGAGGTGGAAGAGCTTCCCCTGGACCCCACAAAGCCTAATCAGACAGTTCGCGTTGGCACCAGATTGCCCGGTCCAATCCGAAGAGGTATGGTGGACCTCCTCAGAGAATATCGGGACGTCTTTGCTTGGGCCGCCGAAGAGGTCCAAGGAGTCCCACACCACCTCATGATGCATGAGTTGAACGTCGACCCCCAAGTCCGTTCGGTCAAACAGAAGAGAAGGCACCTCGGCCCTGAGCGCAGCCGAGCTGTCGGTGAGAAAGTGGACAAGCTCTTACCCGCTAAAATCATCCAAAAAGTCCAATACCCAACTTGAGTGTCCAACCCGGTCATGGTCAAGAAGGATACGGGGGCTTGGAGGATGTGCGTCGACTTCACCGACCTCAACAAGGCCTGCCCCAAGGACTGTTACCCACTGCCCAAGGTTGATACCTTGGTAGACTCGGCAATGGGATATGAGATCCTCTGTTTCCTGGATGCATTCAAAGATTATCACCAAATTGGTATGAGCCAAGAAGACCAGGAGAAGACGGCCTTCTACACTGACCGCGGCACGTACTGTTACACTACCATGCCCTTCGGATTGAAGAATGCCGGAGCCACTTACCAACGCTTGGTCAACCAAGCATTCAGGTCTCAGATCGGCCAGAATGTTGAGACCCATGTAGATCATATCCTCCTCAAAAGCCAGACGACCTCTGCTTTTCTGGCCGACCTGAAAGAAGTCCTTGATATTCTCCGGAAGACGCGAATGATGCTGAACTCCAAGAAATGCGTTTTTGGGGTGACCTCGGAAAAATTCTTGGGTTACCTCATCTCAAGGCGAGGTATAGAAGCGAACCCAGATAAGGTGCGAGCCATCCAGGAGATGTCCCCACCTCGATGCGTCCGCGATGTTCAAAGGTTGACGGGGCGATTGGCCGCCCTGAACCGGTTCCTATCGCAGTCAGCCTCCAAAGCTCTGCCATTTTTCAAAGTATTGGAAAAAGCTGACCACTTCTCCTGGACTAAAGAGTGTCAACAGGCGTTTGAACAACTGAAGGATTACCTTCACCATCTCCCAACGCTCACCTCACCTCGTCCAGGGGATAAATTGATTCTATACCTTTCTGCCGCGGTCGAAGCCGTGAGTGCCGTGCTGATAAGAGAGGAAAGAGTCTAGATGCCTGTTTACTACGTTAGCCGATTCCTCCGAGGTCCAGAGACGAGGTACACACAAGCGGAGAAACTTGTGCTGGCCCTGATCCACGCAGCCCGCAGACTCAAACCCTACTTTTTAGCTCACCACATCTGTTTGAGAACTGATCAACCACTCCGGCAGATCCTGATACGACCTGAGGCTTCGGGACGTCTCACCAAATGGGCCATTGAACTGGGGGAGTATGACCTCTCTTATGAACCTCGCACAGCAATTAAGGCCCAAGCTCTTGCGGACTTTTTAGCCGAGCTCACCTTTGACGAGGTGAAAGAGCCCATCCCATCTACCACCCCGGTGACAGCTGAAGTGGCCATCGCTGAGCTCCAGCGATGGATTCTACACGTAGATGGGTCGTCCAACAGTGAGAGTAGTGGAGCAGGCCTGCTCCTCGAAGACCCTCAAGGAGATGTGTGCTCGTACGCCATGATGTTTGACTTCGCTGCCTCCAACAATGAAATCGAATACGAGGCTGCTATAGCTGGCCTGCAATTAGCTCGCAAGTTCGGGGCTTCACACATTTTGGTGTATAGCGACTCCCAACTCATCGTGTGCCAAATATTAGGCGAATACGAGGTCAGAAACGAAGTGATGCATCGCTATCTCTCTAAGGTCCTCCAGCTAGTGGCACACTTCGAGTCCTTCGAAATTCAAAGGATACCACGGTCACAGAATCGGAGGGCCGACGCACTCTCCCGGCTCGCATCCACTTCTTTTGCCGACCTAAATAAGACGGTTCTCGTAGAAGTGTTAGCCGAGCCGGGGTATGAAGGAGAGGTCGTGTACCCCATCTATTCCGAGAACACCTGGATGGGGCCCTTAACTCGATTTCTCAGCCATGGAGAGCTCCCTGAGGACCGAGCTGAAGCACAGAAGCTTCAATCAAAAGTAGTTCGGTACACCCTCCGACAAGGCCTTCTCTACAAGAGGTCTTACCTCGAGCCCTGACTGTGATGTATCACCCCGGAGGAAGGCGAGAGAATCCTTCAAGACATTCATGAGGGATTCTGTGGTGCCCACGTCGGCTTCAGGATGCTTGTGAAGAAAGCTTTGCTGCTCGGGTACTTCTGGCCCACCATGAGGGTAGATGCCCAGGTCATGGTACTTTGTTACCCTTCCTGCCAACACCACGCTCCTGAGCACCACCAGCCGACCAACCTCATGATACCCATCACCTCGCCGTGGCCATTCGAGCAATGGGGAACTGATATAATCGGTCCATTCCCCAGGGCTCTAGGCAACCATGTTTACGTGGTGGTAGCAGTAGACTACTTCACCAAATGGGTTGAGGCTGAGCCCCTGAGAAGCATCACTGGAGCTGCGGTTCAAAAATTCTTTTGGAAATAACATGGTGTGTCGTTTCGGCCTGTCCCGGGTGATCATCTCGGATAATGGCAGGCACTTCGCAGATAATCCTTTCAAGGCATGGTGTGAAAACTTGGGGATTAAGCAACACTTCACCTCGGTTGGACACCCTCAAGCAAATGGATAAACCGAAAATTTCAACCGAACTTTCCTCCATGGACTCAAGACCAGGCTCCACCAGGCTGGATCATCGTGGATGGAAGAGCTCTCCAGTGTGCTGTGGTCCTACCGAACTACGCCGAAATCAGCCACTCAGGAAACCCCGTTTTCCTTAACCTACGGATCTGAAGCTGTTGTCCCAGCCGAGTTCATCACACCAAACCCACGTATGGCCGCATATGCTGCCGAGGCCAATGAAGAGGAACGGCGAGTTGATCTCGACCTGGCCGAGGAGAAGCGTGATATGACCGCGACCAAAGTTGCTACTTATAAAAATATCCTAACTGGCTACTACAACGCACGGGTCAAACATTTGCGATTCAATGCGGGAGACCTTGTTCTCCGGACGAATTCAGTTAGCCGAGCTGAACCTCAGGGTAAACTAACTTCCAAGTGGGAAGGATCCTACCGTGTTGTTGAGTTCAGCCAAAATGGATATTGTAAATTAACTTACCGAGATGGTTCTCGAGTGCCTCGGACTTGGCATGCCGAAAACCTTAAGTTGTATTACCCTTGAAGGGTACGTGCTCTCAAATTTTAGTTCTTCAATTTCGCACTTATTTTTGTCTTATCACAAATGAGAAATAAGGGGACAAAGCGGTAGTCAAAGGAAGAAAACTGAACTCAGTTAAAAAGAAAAAACATGAAGTCAAATTTTATTTAAAGTGGGAAGAGCAAAAGGCCGAGGTTATTCATGACCTAGGCCCTTGATTACAAAAAGAGTGCTCCTAAGCACTCCTTACCCCAGCATTCTGACCCCCCATGGTCTGGCCTCCCGTCTCGGTATCTTGTCCTCCCTCAACTCCTCCGCCGACCTGGCCGCCTTCAATATCATCACCGTCTAACTCAAATTCCTGGAGCCATTTATTGAACTCGACCCGGACCTCGGCTAGGTCTCGGCCAGCTTGGATGCCCTCAGCCATGCGGTCGCACAGCTCCTTGGCATCCTCATTATAGTGCGGAGCGTTTTGAAGGGACTCCAGTTGTTCAGAGGAAAGGAAGGGCGTTGCATCATTGACGGCTGAAGTGTAGCCCAACATGAAGCTTGGCCGAGTCAGCTCCCCGAGATCTCGCGTGAAGGATTCTGAGCTGCGGAAGGATACCACGGCAGTCACCCCGCCCTGGTTTATGACCTCCTGGGTCGACTGCTCCTCTTGGGCTCTTCTTCTTCTTTCCTCATCAAGGGCGGTGATCAAGGAGTTATTCGCGACTTCGGCCTTCTTCCTCGCCGCCTCGGCCTTGTCGCGCTCCAGCTCGGTTGCCCTTAGCTTTCCTTCCAGGTCAGCAATCTTCTTCTGGAGCTCGGCGGGTGGCTCGAAGGTTTTCATAAATCGCCCGTAGCGTTGAATCATTTCAGCAAAGAATGCCGTGGTGGAGGCCCAGGAGACCGAAGTACTTTGCATTAGCTCACCCGGAGTGAGTTTCCTGGCATAAATGCTATCTCGAGACAACACCGAGTGCACCAAGAGCTCCTGAGCAACCAGGGGGTTCTTGCACCGGTCGTTGACATTAATCTCCCACTCCGGACACCAGTGCGATCCGGGGTGCCTCTTGTCCTCCTCGACCGCTTTGGAGGGTACATGGTGGAGGTTAAACAAAGAGGCCCCTGTGACGGGGTTATCCGGGAGCGTGGTCACGCCTTGGCCCGGGGTGGAGTGGCTATCGTGACCCTCCGGATAGGTACCCCCACTGGGATGGCCGAGGCGCAGGAGCCTCCGGGAGTGGCCGAGGTGTGTGAGCCCTCGCCCACGATCACTACGGTAGGCTCGCGGTCGCTTGTCCCCGCGGTGGACTTCTTAGCAGGCCTGGGGGAGGACCCAGTGGCGTCTTTGCGCTTCTTGGGTGGCCTCTTCGCCACCTCGACGTTCCCTGAGATGATCAGGTCAGAAATCTTCGTCACTGCATAGCATGAAGGAGAGTTAGTTAGAATTCAAGAAAGATAAACTAAAAGAGGGAAATGAAAAAATACAAGGTATGTGAAGCCTAGAGGAGAGGTGGACGGGATGATCCGAGCTGATCAAGGCTCGGCTGAGCCCGCATTCTACTGGAATCACTTCGAAGAAATCCCAACAGTTGATCCTGAGGCCCGACCCCGTTAGCTTCTGGAAGTTGCGTTCTTCCAGCTTGCCCGGAGATACCTCCTTTACCGAGGTGGGTGGCCTCCACCAGAACCCCCAGGGGAAGTTCTCAGCCGGGATGAAGATGAAATTTCTCTTCCACTCCTTTATTGAGCTCGGAGCATCAACCACCAGCTTCGAAACTTTATTCCCGAAGTAGAACCATCTCTTTTCACTTCCGCTGTTTTTGAGTGAGTAACAGCAGCGGAAGAGGTTGACTGTGGGTTCTATCTCCTGATGTCGGCAGAGTAACTGGAAACCGACGAGGACCCGAATGGCATTAGGGGTGAGTTGAGTGATTCTCACCCCCCAGTACTTCAGGCAATCTCGAAGAAATCTCGTCGTGGGCACTCTGAGCCCGGCCTTCAGTTGGTCCACATAGATGACCACCCTATCCTTCGGTGGCAGGGCGGCGGACTGATGCGGCTGTGGTACATAGATGCTGTAGTCCTTCCTCCAGGGGTATCTGCGGATCACCTCGGCGACCTCGGCTTGTCCCACGGCACTGTTGAAGGTCGGCATCTGACCGTAGTTGAGCGTCGCCACGTTCGGAGGAGTGGACGGTTCTTGAACACCCTCGTCCCTAGGGACCTCAGTCCCGAGGTCATCATTATACAGGACCTCTGGATCGACTTCAATCTCCTCGGCCTGCTCTTCTGGAGTTACGACTCGGTGAGACGCCTCTGTACCCTGTTCTTCGACGTCAGACGCCGTTCTTTCCTCGGAGGGGTCGGGCCTCTCCGTCTCTGTAAAGTCGGGCCTCACTGTCTCTTTGTGCGTACGAGCTGTTCTAGCCATTGTATCAGAGGGGGAAGAAGTGAACTTACTTAGAGTCTGCGACTTGAAGAAGATGCCGAAGTAGATGTGGTTTAGAAAGGTTGCCGAAGTGAAAAGAGAAAGAAACAGAGTTCTGGGGTGATTCTTGATTTTTAGTGAAGAGTAAAACGGTGAAAAGAGATCCCTATTTATAGGCCACCAGGGTGAAACCCAAGAGACGGCACCCTCTCTTCTCATTAATGGGAGGACTGTTCGTCTGCCAACACGTCTGACAGCCGTCCCTTCAGTTTCACTCAGTCCCATCCGCGCAGTCATGACGTGTCTGTGATCCGTGTCATACACGTTTGTCAGCCTCGGGAAGCGACGACCTCGGCAAATGCCGATCCCGCCCTTCCCAAAGTTTGGGGGGCTTAGTGAGGAGAGACATTTAGGCTCGGATCGCCCGAGGCATGGTTCTCTAACCTTCCCTGAAGTACCACCTCGGTCATACGTCTCCCGAGGCGATCAGCATCCATTGTCCACCTCGGCTATGAGGTCCAGGTCATATCCCCCGAGGTGAACTTCGTATGATATTCAATTATGGAAAGGAGGGAGGTGACCTCTGACGCACCTGACACCTGACTGAGGACTGCTCTGACACGCCGCCTGAACCTGACAGAGTATCCCATCACGTCCTCTCATAGAGACCGGTCAAGTCCACCGGATGCACTGACTATCCCAGATCTTTAGGGATCTGTGCAGGCATTCTCTCTCTCTCCTATCCGTCCCCTATAAATACCCAACGTATCTATCAAGAAAGGGGATGATCAATTTCTGGTAACACCATACTACCATCTTCCCATTACTTTCTTACTAATATACTGTCGAACTTGTGACGCCCCGAAAAAAAATGAGTGTGAGAACCCGTAAAAACCCTAATCTTTTCCGAGGGTTTTATTTCCTTTAATAGCATGTTTTCTGCATTTCCTGGCTTAGGAAATTTTTCTGAGGATGTAAGTATACGTTCCACGATTGGAATCAGTTTCCGCTGCATTTGTAATATGTAATCATTGGAGAATTTGATGTAATTTTGAGATTTATATTGTAATTGGGTTGAGAACTGTAGTGAGCGACTGAGTCCCGGTGAGAGTTGGGCAGGCGGTCCGCCGAACCCTCTGGTTCGCCTTAGGGGGAGGTGGGGCCGTTATAGAACTGACTTAAGCTTCGGAGTTACACCGGAGGATTCAAACCCCTTTCACAATTCTAGCAGGTGACTCAGTCACGGTGACCGTCCAGTCCGGAATCCTATTCCAGTCCGTGGACATCATTTCAGCAGGGCCAAAAATCACCTCTTCATTCTCTTTGATGCATTTGACCCGAATATATAAGAAATTTCCTTCTGTTTTCAAAATAAAAAAGCTAGAGCTTTAAGGGTTGAAATATTGGGGAACCTATTCACCTACATTTGCAGATTTCCTCTTCTACTTTCTCAATTACAATGTAAATTCAAAGTTGGATGGAAAGAGAAGGAGAAGAGAAGAAGGAGGAGATGGGTTGTTGGTGGCAGAGGTTGGTAGCGGAGAGGAGATAATTCAAAGTTTTTAAAATACCCTTATTTAATGTTAAATGATGAGCCAAATTACTTTTAGATAGTGGTGCCGTCATAGAAAGCCTTAATTGGATCCAAAAATTAAATTCATGTATTAAATTGGCCAGAAATAAAAGTTAGGGACTAAATCGACGGAAAAAAAGTTTAAGAACGAAAATGACCATTTTTCCAAAAAAAAAAATCCTGAAAGATAAATTTGATATTCGTTAACCCCATTTTTTTAATTTAAGGAGAAAAAAAATAACAGGTGAGAAAACTTGCTTGATGAGTAGCTGAGGAATTCATACACACCTTGGTAAAATATAAAGAGTAATCTCAGAGAACAAAGCCACTGCAAGTTT